AGGATCCAGATGTGCCAAAAAGCTCAGAGACCGTTCTCAAAGCTTCTAATATACTGGAAACAGACCATATCCCTAAGGCAGCTACTCAGCTGCTCACAGCAGACTTCACCATGGAGATGACTACCAGTCTTACAATGGGAATAACTACATCCAGCTGCCCAGACACTCAAACCAGGCCCAGCCAAGCAAACTGTCATACTGGTCCAGTTGTGAGGATGCCCACTGTCTTCATGTTCAGGTGTAATCTATACTGAATGCTATAGTCTTTTACATTCATCAATAAGTGCTTCAAGCTGTCTTCATTTTTGGCAAGTAAGATTGTGCCATCTGCATATTGCATGCAGGTTGTTAATGATTCTTCTACCAATTCTGATGCTACATTCTTCTTCATGTAGTCATATCATATATTTATATGTGTGTGTATGTATTTGATTGTATATGTAGTCACATATATATACAGACATATATGCAACCTCATTCTGACTGAGTGACTGCCTATTGATGCATGCAGAGTCCATATAAACACAATAAATTGTTCTAGAATTCCCATTCTTCATAATGTTTCCATAATTTGTTATGATGAGGGGAAACTGCCACCTTTCTAATAAGTTATGCTGTCCACAGATGATGAATTTTAGAAGCATAAAAGACATGAATTCACCTTAATCTAAAACCTAGAAGTTAAAAAGTGATTGAACATCATCAAAATTATTGGAATTTTATACATCTAATATGTCACAGCAGAAACTTGGGCTCAGCCAATACAATCTTTACAGTTGGTTAGATGAATATAAACTTACAAATTATCTAGGAATGGGGCTAACACTGAAACTCCTTCAATGGAAGAGGATCTAAATCTGTATCATAAGTTACACAAAATAATCTCAGATCTAGAGAATCAATTTCTCAGAGTAAAGCTCAAGCATCTGTATTTGGACGAAGAGAGGTAAAGATCAAAACCCTAGGTATAATTTGATACCTGCCTTTGAAAGAAGCAGGATTTCAGAGACATAAAAGCAGATATTGTCACTGTAAGATAACAACTTCCAAATTTTGTCTTAAAAGAGATGTAGGAAAAAAGAGGAAGAAAAAATTTGCAAAGTATCAGGCAGAAGAGTAAATTACAGATCGCCAGCACAGCATATACTCAGCCTGACTTACACATACGTTATCTCTTCATTCAAGTATCATTTCAATTGAGTTATCTGTATTGGTAATGAAACATATGATGGAATTTTAACCTAAATTCAGAGCCCTAACTGTAGCTTAGGAGCCCTGGAGGGGCAATGGATCAAAAAGTTAGCTGTTCCAATCCACCAATCCACCAGCTGCTCCGTGGGAGAAAGGTATTGCTTCTATAAAGATGTACAATCTTGGAACACTGAAGGGCAGTTCTACCCTGTCCTTTAGGGTCACTATAAATCAAATTTACTCAACAATGTATTCAACACTACCCTTTCATTGACTAATTAGCTTTTGTTTGTAAGACTGTGTGTGTGTGTATATAGATATATTTGTAATATGTATTTTATATATAACAATGTATGCTGAATCACTGAGTAAATTTTTGGTAGGTATAGATGGATGCTGATAAATTATTATGTGGGGCACATATGTCCCAATGGACTACGGTGGTAGGGTAAGAGGGATGAGGCATAGAAAAAATATTCATTTGAATATTACCCAATCTTGAATACCACACTTTCCCACTGACACACACAAAACAAAACGCAATGCAACCACTGCCGTGGAGTCAGATCCAACTCATAGTGACCCCTCCTTGGGTTTCCGAAGCAATATCACTACGGAAGTTGAATGCTCTACCTTCCTTCCAAGGAGTAGCTGATGGGTTTGAACCGCCAGCCTTCTGGTTAGCAGTCAAATGCCTTAGGCACTATGACACACAGTAAACACTAAATATTCTTACAAGCCTTATTTCAGTGTGCAGAAGTTCAAAGAAACAAACGTTTTACACAATCACTCCTCCAGGATGCACCACCTCATACAATAAGCTCTGAAACAACAGCAACTGAACATAACAACGAACTTCCTTCTGCTTCATTCAGCTACACAAGCATCTGACCTGAGACAGCACATACTATATATGTGGGGAAAAAAGCCTCCCAAGAAACCTCAGAGGCAGAAAGTGTAAGTGGTACTTATTTATACTACAGGTTATGAAAGCGTTAAACTGAATAGAAAGATACTGTGTACACAAAGACTCTCTGCCAGTTACCCTTTCTGGGAATTGGCCCACAGATTTTTCAAAGTTAGAAAAAATTGCGTGACCAAATTTATGCATTAGAAAGGATTATTGTGAGGCCCTAGGTGGGACAAATGGTTAAGCGTTCAATTACTAGCTGAAAATTCATGGATTCAAACCTATCCAAGGGCACCTCAGAAGACAGGTCTGGCAATCTACTTCTGAAAGGTCATGGTGCTGAAAACTCTGAACAGTTTCTACTCAAGGGTTTGTCATGAATCTGAGTCAACTCCACAGCAACTAAGAACAACAAAGGATTTCTCAAGCTCTGAATACCTGCCAACAAAAGGCTTGCAGATAATTTTCTCTAACAGCTACTAACTTTTAGTGAAATATAGTTAAGGAAAACAATATTAAACTGCAATTTAATAATAACAAAAAAGGAAATACAGCTGAAAACCCCAAATTTCTTGAGAGAAAGAATGGCAGGGGAAGTGTTTTTTATTGTTGTTGTTTGTTTCCACTTTCACTTTGAAATCATTTCAGACTTATAAAAAAAAAAAAAAAAAGCAAAAATAATGATGTTTCCTGTATACTTTTTACCCAGTTTCTACAAAGGTTAACAGAGTATTACTAACATCTATAGTACAATTACCAAAACTTGGTAAGTAAACATTAATTCAATACCTAACTAATCTACCAATTTCCATCTTACTTTGCCAAATGTGTCACTAATGTTCCTTTTCTGTTCCAGAATCCCATCCAGGATACAGAAGCAAATTTAAATGTCTGTCATGTATCCTCAATCTCTTCCAACCCAATATGGGGCAGTATGACCTTAACACTTTTGAATTACTGGCCAGTTATTTCATAAAGTGTCCTTCAATTTGGATTTGTCTGGAATTTTGTGATTAAATTCAGGTTATGCATTTTTGGCAAAAATACTAAAGAAGCAATGGTATACTTTTTTTTAATGCATTGTATCAAGAAGTACATGCTATCAATACATCTCATTACTAAACTCATCTGATTACTTAGTTCATGTGTTATCTGCCACGTTTCTCCAGTGTAAGATTATTGTTTTCCTTCTGTAATTGTTAAGTATCTTGTAGAAAGAGGGGTACTCAGGAACTACACAAACATCCTATCATATTTTGTCCACAAATTATAGCACCCTGAAATAATTTCTGTGTTTGCCAAATAAAGATTTTCTATTTCCATGACTCTGATATTGAGATTCTGCTATAAGGAAGAACTGCCCCTTCTCTCTCCAATTACTTAGTTATTCCAGAGTGTATTCATGGGCATTTATTTTGTTCTATGTATTATCATCAATTACTATTATTATCTTATTGTTCAAACTGTAAAATTCCTAGTCTTAATAACTTACAAGAAATTATTCACCAAGTCTTATTTTTTTCATTAAGCATATTCTTATATCTACCCCTTCACCTTAAATTCTTACACTATACCCTTTTTAGATGCTTAATGTAAGAATATCTTAACTATTCTTCTAGCCTCCAAACCTCCCATCTTTAATTTTGTATACAGTTACTAGAATATTTTCATCTAGAGTTTAATCATAGCTCCTTGCTTAAAACCCTTTCCTCTAATGGCTTTCTTCTACAAACAGGATAAAATGTAAGACTCCTCTCCTTGACTTTCGGGGTATTCACAGACTAGCACACACACACACACAACACACACACAAAAGACTCAATTGAGTCAATTCCGACTCACAGCAACCCTCACTGGGTTTCTGAGGCAGTAAATCTTACAAAAGTAGATTTCCCAGACTTCCTTTCACAGAGTAGCTAGAGGGTTTGAACCACCAACCTTCTGGTTAGCAGTCAAATGCCTTAGGCACTGCACCACCGGATCTCCTTTAGACTTGCACAATCAATGCTCATTTTAGTTCAGCAAACAGTCAAGGCAACTTACTGTGTAGCTCACTTAGAAATGTTTCACCTTATAGAAATATAAAATACCCTGATTACACAGTCTGAAACAAATTTTGTCTACACTAGCCCTTTGACAACTGCTTCTATTACCCCTGCTACTACTACGAGTAAACATTTATTCAGAGCTTACTTACATGCCAGATACTGTAATAATAGAAAGGGAATTCATTTGATTTGTATGATGCTTTAAAATGAGAATAAACATCTTTATTTCTCGAGGGAAATGAAGATAAAATTTAAATGGCTGCTCAAGGCCACAGCTAATAAATGGCTGGGCAGGGATTTAAGCCTTAAGGCTGTCTGATTCCAAAACTTATATTCTTAACTCACTGAGCTATCTCAACCCATTTGAACACTAATCATTTACTGTCCTAACCTATCATCTTATTTCAAGTAAAGGTCTTATATCCCCAGTGAGATTTTAAATAATAAAGAGCTTACTCAAGAGGCATATATATTTTCAGGGACATATCTCATTTAACACTTTCCTTATCTTTATTCCAAGTAAGAAACATTCCCACCAATAGGAGACATTTCCTTCACAAGCTAATAAAAAAAAATTTGTGACCTGTTTTAGGCAAAATTTCCTTAATGTACCATTTCAAAAGTCTGACATCTACATGTAAAGGCAGGGGTTTACCCATAGTAGATGTATTATACTACACATACATATATTAATAGGCTTAATAAAGCATAGAAGATAAATATGCTTATGATGACTTAGTAAAATTTCTTAGTTTTAAAATACACACATAAAAATCTAAAGTGTATTTATTTTTATTAAGAACAAAGTACAAAAACAGATCCAAAAAACGGTGAATGGTATGTATGCTTACCTTGCGAGCAAAATCGCCTTTCCCTTTACTATAGGCTTTGTTCTCAAGGAAATCATATACACAGTGAGCCAAAGCTGGGGATGCTTTCATCATTTCAGGAGTTAATAATAACTAACAGGAAAAAGAAAGTCAAAATTGATAGGATACTGGATGTTAACTATTGTTTATAATTTTATATAGTAAAATGTTAAGAATGTATCTTAAAGAATTTTAATTTTTATATTTTGAGGATACAGTCATACAGTTCAAATAAAATCACCTACAATTTTATGACCATTAACAGTCTGATGTATTGTATATTCTTCCTATTCTGGTATTTTGACTTTCAATGCATGTAATGTCGTAATTCTCCAAATACAATTACTTTTCTGTTTTCAGGCTGTATAGCTGCTATATACTAAGAATTTCTACATTAGAAAATTGCTATGTTATTTATGTAATAATTTTAAAGTTACTATTAATATAAAGTACCAAAACAAAATACCATTGCTTTAACAACTGCTAATGATATAACTTAACATTCTAGCTTAGTTCCTTCCATGCAACATGTTTTGGCATACTGAGTTCCTTAGCTAAGAAGAATATGGTACAGCCACATTAAAAAGACACATTATGGCACCATATTGTAGAAGTGGTCATTTTCTAAATCTTATAAAACACTGATACAGATTTTGATGTAATTGAAGTTTACACTTTAAAAAAAAATGAGAACATCTGACAAGAATCATACCAATGATATCAGATATTCAGCTTTAAGAAAAGAGCAGGTAAAGGTAAATACTATCAGAGATTTATATAGTTTTTGGTATTCTTTAAGTACATAATAATGCAAAAAATTACAACTATTGTTATAAACAAACACAATCAGAGTTACACTTTACAACAGAGAGAAAGAAATATCCAGTATTAGATAAATTTCATGAAATTTTAAGGCAAGGTTTGGCATACTTTTTCTATAAAGGGTCAGACAGTAAATTATTCTAGGCTTTGTGGTCCAAAGTCTCTGATGCAAATACTCAATGGTACTGTTATAATGCAAAAAAAACAGTCTAATCCAATAGTAAATGAGTAAGTGTGGCTGTGCACCAATAAAACTGTTAATAAAAGAGGTAGTAGACTAGATTTTGTCAGCAGGCTGTTTGCTGATCTCTGTTCTAAAGGTGGAGTGGGGAGCTAAGTAATAGAATACTGTATACTTGGGCTGATGCCTTGCCTCATAAGTGAGAAAGTTTTACAGAACAATAATTAATATAAAAAATGATAAAGTGATATTATTATTACTATTATATCTGGCATCTGAGCACTCGGATCAAAAACAAAGTTATTTCTGGAATTCATTTATGTAATCAGTAACTTGTAAGACATGTTTTGTTATTCCATAAAAGAAATCGACATGTCCAGATGTACACACTAGAAATAGTCCCTCAGATCTAGTCTTCTCTAGAACTATCTTATAATTTTAGAATCCTTAAAATCATTCTGAGTCATGGGAAGCAGCTACAAACATTTCTGAGAACTAAAATCTGCTAGTCTTGGGTACAGAGTCCTCAGGTGGCGTAAATGGTTAAATGCTTGGCTAATAGCTGAGAGGTTGGCAGTTCAAATTCACCCACAGATACCTCAGAAGAAAGACCTGATAATCTATTTCTGAAAGATCACAGCCACTGAAAACCCTATGGAGAGATGCACCCCTTAGAACAGTCAGCCATGAGACACCAGACAGGCCACATTCACATAGAAGGAAAGCTGGACAGACAGGAATGCGTAGAAATGTTAAGAAGTGCACAGGGAGCAAGCAGGTAGTTCACAGTGATGAGATGCAAGGAAGGAGAGTTTTTTACAGTTGGGGATGGCAGGGTGTGAAATCAAGTGTGCATGAACTGTTGAATAGAAAATAAATTTGCTTTGTAAATTTGCACCCAAAGTCCAGTAAAACTTAAAAAAAAATCCTATTATTCTAAAAGACAAGAAGTTATCAGGAGCTGGAATATACTCAACACCAACTAGTTTTGTTAGTTTATTTTAAAGCTTTGGATATAACATAATGAGCTACCACCTACTGATTTAGAAACATTTAACTGTTTAATCTATCATAAAATACCTACACTTTGCAATAATCTAGAAGTGATGAGTATATATGTGTGTTCATTCAAACATGAAAGCAGCAACATTCCTAACAGTGAGTATGTAGAAAATCTGCTATATCTGTGTGCTGTATTAAAAATTTTTCATTTAAATATAACAACAAATTAAATATGTATTTAAAGTATAGTAATATAAATTAAATGTAAATTTAAATATAAAAATAAAAAACATGGGCTTACCTGCAAATATGAATTTAGATCTTTTTTTCTCTTTTCTAAAAAATCTCTATCCATATTATTAAATGTCTTTTTACCAGGAAGCTTCAATATGCTTGATAGATTTTCAAACTATAAGACAAAATACATTTAACAGTCTTCTTCAGTTATTCATAAGAGAAAAAAATCTTCCAAGTGCCAATTTCTCTTAATATAAAAAACATCTTAAATAATTGTAATATGCTTTGTTATATTACGAAAACTTCAAAAATAGAAAAATATTGCCCAATATGTCCAAAACACAGTTTTAATGTTATTTATAATAAATATTTCAACTAAGATTGAAAATGAAGATAATTGATGAAGCTAGGTGATTGGCACATGAGGTTTCATTATATTATTCTTTCTTAATTTTGAGACTGTTCAAAATATTCCTAAGAAAAGGTTTAAAAAATATTTTCATTTACAATGCTTTGACTTGTAAATAAAGTATTAGCAGATAAAATTTTCATGATCAATTATGAGTTTCTATTTTTTTTTATAAGATCTAGTAAAAACATTTTTTTGTATCAATGACTCTAAGCATTAATTTGTAGAAGTAGAAAAGTCAAGTATCAAAATATAAATAGCAGCTATGTTACAACTCTAAATGTATACAATTCTGATACTTCTCCCACACCAATCTCATAAGAAACTCATAGATTATACTAAGAAAAAAGACCCATTACTATGTATCTTCATAAAATCACCAAGTAAGTGTATATAGTAAGTTTAGCATTTACAGACTTAATATTTCAGTGGACCTTTGAAACCAAATATTAAACATGTTAGCTGCTAAAACAGTGTATAGGCAAAGTCATTTAGTTAGTGACTGACCTGGCCAACAGCCTACAATTTGAAACTTGGAGTAGGATAATTTTTAGCCCCATACTGGAAGATTCTGGTAAATTATTAAATTATACAACTGATATTTGCTTGGAACTAAAATGTGAATAAATTAATCGTATATTATATATGAAAAGTAAAGCAGTTCTTTCGGGAACTGCTCCAATCGTGACAAGAAAAACTAACAAGGGTAGGCAACTTACAGAAAAAATGTTATGCTGTAGTGATATCCAAAAATCTGGTGACTCACTAAAGTATTAGAATGGATTCTCCTTGAATACCAATTGTTCAATGGAGAGTTTATCTGGTTATACGAATTAAACTTAAAAAAAAAAATCACTACTTTAAAGAGGTAAATATACTCTTTCAGGTTCCTAAGAATATTTAATTTCCTGGAATATTACTGAACTATACTATCTTAAACTACCAAGTTAATTTTGTAGAATGTAAAGTTTATTCTGGCATTACCAAGGTAAAATGACCCAAAAAAAAACAGGAAAAATCAAACCTACTGCGAGTGGATTCTGACTCACAATGACCCTGTAAGACAAAGTACTGCCCCATTGGGTTTCCCAGACCATAATCCTTATGGAAACAGACTGCCTGCCACATTTTTCTCCCTCAGGTTGGCTGGTAGACTCAAACCATCAACTTTTTTTGGTCATGTTGTTGTTATGTGCCACCGAGTTGGACCTGACTCATAGCGACCCCTCCTTGGGTTTCCCAGGCAGTATCACTACGGAAGTAGACTGCCCCATCTTCTTTCCAAGGAGTGGCTAGTGGGTTTGAACTGCCAGCCTTCTGGTTAGCAATCAAGTGCCTTAGGCACTATGCTACCAGAGCTCCTCTTTTTTGGTTACAGCAAGGGCTTAACCACTGCACCACCACTTAACCACCACCAGGGCTCCTTGGTAATGTGACAGTATCTGTTACATTGTAACAATTGTTTTCAGAAACTTTAAAATTAAATCTTATTAATGAAAAAAAAAAAAAAACTTACATAAACATCACAATAATACCAGTTGTTTTCTTTAAAGACTAACCTCTCAAAACAAACTCCTTTTTTAATTAAGTTATGTCTGGAACAGAAACAAACACATCTAACAGTTTTCTCAAATATTGTTATTAGAACAGTAAGGAAAATTGGAGAGATTTTTATACTCTATAGAAACTCAATACACTATTACATTATATTAGGATTTAAAACTTCTTCATATCCTGTATATTACCTTATATATTTTTATTCAGCTTTCTTAACAAATATTCAATATACTATTTTATATGATGAGTACATATAGTATTTTATCTATATTTATATGCAGTTGATCCAGTAAAACATAAATGTACAGTATCTACTGGAATGTAAGCTTCTGGAGGGTAACAAATTGGTCTGTCTTCTTCACTGTTACATCCCCAGCATTGAGAGCAGTGCACAGAAAGTGTTCAGGAAATATTTGTTGAATAAAAGAATGGGCAGTTCAGGCTATTACTAAGGTAATACGACAGGTAACATTTTAATATCTTTTTTATAAAATATACATATAAACTATTCAAAATAGTTTTAAAAAATGAACTTATTTTAAAATAAATGTATTACTTTAAAAGCTCTATGGAGTTTACATTTATTTATGCCCACAGCCTATACTATGCACCAACTGGTGATGTACAAGTTACTGCTTTTTTCTTCTACTATTTTATAGGGTATTTCAGTTTAGAAAATACGGCTAAGACAGAGTTAAGAGCTAAACACATTGAGTCTTATTTACAAATGGTTACTGTTTTGCTTAAACCTAAATTTTCATTTAAACTTAGCTTTTATAATTTCTTAAGCTCTGTGAGTAATCTGAACACTTGCATAATCACACATTACTGTATTTTATAGGAAATAGAGTCAAATGTCTACTTCACCTCCACTAAGTCATTTAAAAATGAATCGCACTATATAAATTTAAGTTTTAGTGCTTTATGGAAAAGGGAAATTTCTGTATGAACTGGCCTATTAATAAAGTTTTTAAACTATGGTCTTCATTTTTATTTGTCAGTCTGAAAATACAGCATTTATAGCCTTGTTGTTGTTATTATGTGCCGTGTCAAGTTGGACTCGAGTCACAAAGACCCCTCCTTGGGTTTCCAAGGCGGTATCACTATGGCAGTAGATTGCCCAACCTTCCTTCCGAGGAGTGGCTGGTGGGTTTGAACCGTCAGTCTTCTGGTTAGCAGTCAAGTGCCTTAGGCACTACGCCACCAGAGCTCCCTAATTAGGCATCTTAGAAAAAAGGAGCTCTGGTGGCACAACGGTTAAGCATATGGCTGCTAACTGAAAGGTTAGAGGTTTGAACCCACCAGCTGCTCCACGGGATAAAAAGACCTGGCAATCTGCTCCCATAAAGATCAGAGCCAAAGAAATCCTATGTGGCAGATCTGCTCTGTCCTACAGGGTCACTATGAGTAAGAATCAATTCAATGGCACAGAACAATAGAAAGAAATGGCAACTATCACATAAAAGAATATTTGATATTAAATCAAATTTTCATTAATTTTTGAACAAAAAAATTAATCTTAGTAATTCAAATTATTTAAAAATTATCATATTTGGTTAAAGTGTAGGGAAGAGAAAAATATATGAGCTATATGCTTTTAAAGCAGTATGAAACAGGTGATATTTGAAAGTAAAGCAATTATTTCTTTAATGTGGGGCAAAAATTTCTTCTATCTCTGCAAACAATTCAAGATAAGCATAAGAGAAAACATTAATCCAACAAGAACAGAATCACAGACCTATCCTAATTTCCTTACAAATATAATTTTGAAGGTTTTATTTTATTTTTTTTAATATGGGATTCAGGGGTCAATGCTTAACCTTCTGTTTTAACTAGTTTTAAGCTATAAGAAGCTTCTCTCTATCCATAAAATATTTTAATGAGATTATCATGGTATCAACTGTATCTTTTCCCCCTACCATAACTGAAAGAGGTATTTTCTCCTTAATGAAGTTGTACAGTGTCATTTCAACGCTTTAGCACATCCAATCTGGTGTCATCTTTATTATTAGCATTGTTGTTGATTTAATATCAGTTGTGTACCTAAAACGCTTGAATGAATCAAAGACTGTTATGAGTTAAAATAAATTTCATAGAACACCTGCTCCAATTCATCTGCTAATAGTTCTTTTTTTCAAGACGATAAAATAATTAAAAATAGGACAGGAAAATAATTTCTTTACATTGTTAAGAATGTAAACAATTCTTAAAAAATTTAAGAATTCTTACAATTGCTTCTATAAAACAAGAGGGCTGTATTTTGTAATAACAGAAAATATTATTTGGTTAATGTTAAATTTATTTTAGGGGAGCTCTGGTGGCTTAGTGCCCAAGGCATGTGACTGCTAATCAGAAGCCTGGTGGTTCAAACCCATCAGCCACTCCTCAGAAGAAAACTGGGCAATCTACTTCCGTAGTGATACCACCTCAGAAACCCAAGGAGGGGTTGCTAATGAGTTGAAAACCGACTAAATGGTAGTGAGTTTGGCTTTAGTTTGCTTGTTTCAAAATAACTAACAGATTGGGGACTTAACTGTTAAACTGTTAGATGAGGCTGCCTTTTAAAAAGAACTATAGCTCTGAATTATGTGCAACCCCCAAGAAAAGTAACACAAAATGTCTTACAGTGATCCCTATGAGAACTTCAAACCAAACCCAAATACTTCTGAAAGCACAATACATGCACACACAAATTTTAAAATCAGAAATATAATTCATCTTAATTTTCCAAAATATATCACTAATACACTTTGACTAGAATAGCTTTTACAGGTTCAACATTGGATTTATTAAGTGGTCAAAGTCATTCTAAAATTTATGCTGATCATATAAAAAAATCTTATTTTATTTCATTAATTTCAGTCAACATCCTTGCATCATCAAAACTATTTAGAACCAAATGTTGAATCAGGAAACAATGTAAAGTGCATAACATTTAAAACTCATTACCTGTTCAGTGATTCTCATGTGGAAGTCATGGAAGTCACTGTAACGACGATAGGTCTTCCACATCTCCTCACTGTTTAGACTGCGCCGGTGTACAGTGATGGCGTACAATGCATAGGTCTTGCCATGATCATTACAAACGCCTGCCACAGCATATGGGTCATAGTCAGCATATACTAGTCATATCAAACAAAATGAAGAGGAACAAAAGACACAAAAAGGAGGAAGATGAAGAACAAAAACAAACAAAAAAAAAAGACAACATGAAATGAAGAATCTGAAATGACAGACTGAGACAAAAGGATGTCACCAAAGGATAAAACAAATTCCCATCCTCTATATTTACATGGGGTCACCATGAGTCTCAATCTATTTGACAGCAACTAACAACAACACACTCGCATCAATAAGGTGCTGGTTCTATTACAACATAAACTAGAAGTCTATGATACTACAAACCATACAGTGATGCCTACTTTGGACTCTTTTCCCAAAAAGCTTCTAGCTTATTAGTCATGTTACCACAGTACCACCTGATGGTACAGCTTTAGTCTCTCAAATTTAATAGAACAAAAATAACAGAAACAAAACAATTATCTTTTGCATGAGCTTTTATCCAGCTGTATTCTCCTTGAAATCAACTCCACAGACAGCATAAGTCACAGATGAGATTCATGTGCTCTTCTGGCAATTCTCTGTCTCTTTTATATAATATTCTACAACTTTTAAGCGTAGTTTATTCTGTGTTTTTTGTTATTTAACTAAAAAAAATTTTTTTAAATGTATATTTCTAGTGATCTGCCATATACTACCCAAGTCAGGTGGTTTTAAAAATCAAAACTTATTCCCATTTTGCACTAATCTTAATTAAGGTGATGCACTTTCAATCTTTTTTTTTCCCCCTAACTTCTCTATCCTGTTTTCCATTTCTTTATCTCTCTGTGTTGTATCCTGTTCTAGATCATCTCCTCTGAGCTCTAAGAGTTTACTGAGTCTTTGTGTATCTGTATTTGGTGTATTTCCTAATTAATCTACTGACTTTAATATTAACCACTGTATTTTTTCACTTTTAAAATTTTTATTTGGTTCTTTTTCATACTGTTGTGTTCTGCCTTTGTATCATCTTTCTTATTTTATCTCTGTATTTTTAACACACTTATTTTAAAGTCTATTTCAGATGGCCATCGTCAAGTTCTTAGGGTACAAATTATTCCATTTGCTAGGTCTGTTGACTTTCTTACTTGTGGTTGCTGTTTTTCTGGCTTACAACTGCCTCTTATAGGTTCATTTTCAACAGGTATTGCTTCTCCCCAGAAGTCCTTTGTGCCCATGATTATGGAAGCTTTCACACTGAGCAGTGTTCTCACCATAACTGCTGGTTTCAGTGATTCAGAACCAATTTTAATATTAACACTGTAGCTTAAAGACGCTGTGGTTTACACTAATTTAAGGCCATCTGAATCCAGACACACTCATGTTGGGGTACAAGACAGACTTTCAATTTCCTGTATGTGATAGACACCTCCTCCAACTATGACCATGATAGTCCTCATTCTTGTCCCTGAAGGTAGGCTGAATTTGTCTAGTTCCCCTTTCATATCACACTGCCCTTTCTAACTCTGAGCTTTATGAAAGTGACTGGGTTCCAGCTTCCTCTGGCTTTGGTCATCCTGCCCCACTTCTCCCCTGAGGGAATTAAAATGCTATCAAAATAAAGAGAGCAGTCTTTATGCTCCTATAAGCCTCTTGTTTCAACTCCTCACCAAGTCCTTGAATTTGTTTTTCTTCACGGACTATGGCACCTGTGGATTCCCTCTGTTGTTGTTGTTGTTATCTGCCTTCGAGTCAGCCCTGACTCATAGCGACCCCTCCCTGGGTTTTCGAGGCGGTGTCACTACGGAAGTAGGATTGCCCAACCTTCCTTCCAAGGAGTGGCTGGTGGGTGGATTCCTCTAGCTACTTTTATTGTACAGTTTTCAGCTTTTCTATATGCAGACAGGCCTTCTCAGAGCAATTCAGACTATTATACTGGCCAACAGTACAAAGTGCTCTCCTATTAATGGACTGACCCATAATAATGATCATTTTGGAGCTAACAAAAAAATCTGATATTCTGTATTAGTCAATTAGATCAGTGCAGCTTCTTAACAAATTATTTTCATCACATAAAAATGAGAAATTCACATCAGCAAATAAAGTTGAACAGCAATCTCTCTCAGGTTTTCAACAAAATTTTTTTCTAACATTTATACTTTTTATTCAAAATTGTCATTTATTCCCTTTCCATCTCATATCAGTATTCCTGATTTAACAAACGTAAGAATAGGAATAGATTTTGGTCATACTGCTCTACACAAAAGGTTTGAACTGTCAAGTGGCACTACTATTCCCTGCTTGTCTTTTCCAATCAATCTTCTCCAGTGCACATTTCTCAATAGAGGTAGCATGACAAGGAAATGGCTTTGTCTGCTGTATCTAAGATAGGTTTGGGAAAGAAGAAAAAGTAGAGGACAATTAGGCAGCTAACCACAACCCAATTACGAATTAATGAGAATAAGGGGAACAGCAAGGAACAGAAAAGGAGATAAGAGAGGGAGGAATGGAAACAAGTGTTTTAAAAATGAATCATCAGGATTTGGTCACAAATTGACAGGAAGAAGAGATCGTGCCCAAGGTACATGCACACCAGGAAGAATCAGAAGGTTATTATCACAAAGATGCAGAAGACAAAAAGGTAATTTAATTTTAAAAGAAGATAGTAAGGATACATACATTGGTTTTGAAAGTTTGGTGAGAAATTCTTATAGAAATAGCCAGTAGGTTTTGTATTCACCAGACCAGTGCTACCCATTGCAGGTGATGTGCAAACTATTTGTTACCAATCCACAACCAAGTAAGAAACTAAATGTAAATCACTAAGCACACTGTTTAATTTAAGGCAAGATTACTCTATGACATAAGCAGTAAGCACTAGTCCAAGGACCATTCTTTGATTAGTACTGCTTCAGATTACAACTTCTACTTCCAGTAATAGAGATGTTAAGGCCATGGGATCTAGAACCAGAGAATCTAGAGCCCAACTGGCAAAATAAGTATGCACTGAACAAACACTCATAAATAATGCCTAACATAGGAGCTTTATTAACTAATGTAATCAGTTACTTAGTCCCAGAACAGTCCTATGAAGTAGTTCTTACCATTTCTATCCCTTTCACATATGAAAAAACCAAGATACAAAGAAGTTTAGAACTTGCCGGAGTTCCCTTAACTATTGTTGACAGAGGTGGGGCTTGAACCTAAGGTTTTGATGAAAAAGCTGCCTCTTCAGTCTCTATACAGAAATCTGTCCTGAAAGAATTAAGAATTCATTAAAAATGCCTAGCCCAGAGCTTCTATACATATTCAGAAGCTAATAAATACTTGTTGAATCAATGAACAAATGAACAAAGCATCTGAAAATCAAAATCTTCAAAGAAAAAGATCAACAATAGAACAATGGAACTACCAACTGTCTTCCTATAGACTTAAAAAATTTACAGTCTCTAAGAAAGAAAGAAAAGAACTACTGAACATCTGCACTTTAAGGAAGGTCTCACATTTGGAAGAAAAGCTTGCAAAGAAAAGAGATTCTGAAAAGAATTTTACAAGTCTAAGGTAGAAAAACATGAGAAAACTTTATCAAAAGCTAAAAAAAAAAAAAAAGGCAAATAAATAAATAAATAAAACCCTCTGTTATCAACAAGAGTATTACTTAATACCCTTTAAAAGCAGAGTAATGTTAACGTACATATGGTGAAGAAATTGAGACAGCAATTACAAATAATTTATTCCAGAAATCTGGCAGGAAACAAAATGTAAAATAAAACTCTTGTTTCAGTGAGAAGCAAAAGAAAACACAGCTCTTAAACATCCCACCCCCCAAAAAAACATTCTCACAGTAACAGATACAAATTCCTATCTTTTAAATTATCCTCATATTATAAAAATCTCTTTCAGTATTGTTGTAGATTGAGTATGTGTTGTAAGTCCATTTGGGAACAGGACTTTCTTTGTATGTTAATGAGACCATATCAACATAGGGTACATCTTAAGCTAATTACCTTTGAGATATAAAACCAGCACTTGTCAGAAGGGTCCAATCACTGGAGAAGGATATCATGCAAAGTAAAGTAGAGGACCAGTGAAAAAGGGGAAGACTCTCAACAAACTGGACTGACACAGTGGCTATGATGATGGGATCAATCAAGCATAGCAACGATTTTAAGAATGGCACAGGACGGGGCATTGTTTGTTCTGTGCAGACAGGGTTGCTATGATTCCTAACTGACTTACTGAGACCTAACAACAACAACAGGCAGAAAAGGAAGAAGAAATGGAGGGGAAGATATGCCACATGAAGATCACCAAGGGGCCAAGGAAGAGAAGCTAAGAGATAAGACCTTCCCCTAGAGCTGACAGACAGAAAGGCTTCCTCTAGAGCTGGCACCCTGAATTCTGACTTTTAGCCTCTGAAACTGTGTAAAAAATAAATGTGTTTGTTAAAGCCATCCTTATGTGGTATTTCTGTGACTAAGATAAGTATCTATAATATAAGAATAAAACTGAACTATGTTTATACTTCAGTATGTAAAGTGACAAACACACTCTTGCATTCTAAGTTAGAGGACATATAAGAAAACCATCATTATCTAGTATTCACTGGAATTACTCAAAGGAAATTATGGAAATGGATTTTTTTTTCCCATTCTTTAACTGTTTGGCATGTATGCTAACTGAATCACAAAGCTGTAGAGGTTTCTCACCTCAACCAAGCATTTCTTAAACTTCTGCAAACATCTATACCCAAAGGTTTCATTTACCCCAATTATCAACCTATTCTGATTCTGCATGTAAGAATATACTGTTAAAATCTCCTTCAAAATGTGTAATTATGCAGATAACTATCAACCAGACTCAAACATAAAAAGAAAAGATTGGTTTCACAGTTTATTATAAATGAAAAAAAACGCTTAAAATTTAAGCATTTTCAAACATTACTAGTGGAAGCTTTAAGAGAGGAACTATCCAAACACACAAGCAAATAAACATCACAGAAATTAATGAAGCAAGCACATGTTGCAGAAAAGAACAGTAACTTAAAAATATGGCTACAAAATGATTTAAAAGAAGGTCTTAAAAATAAATATGGAAAATAAATTAATGATAATAAAAAATAATTTTTCAGTATTTATACTAAAAAGTTTCTTACCAGTGTCTGAAATGTAGGCATGGAGTTGTACTGAGTCATCAGAAGATACATTCGAAAGGTCATCTAAAGACTAAGGGTGAGAGGGGACAACCAGGAAACAAAAATTAAATACTTTTTTTTAAAAAAAAGTTAAAAAATTTTACATCATATGTGCATTACTCATCACCATCCCATATATGTCTTATATTATTTGGGTTTTTCCCCAATGCTCCTTTTCATTTATACTAATAGATGAGAGAAAAGCCAAGACTAAGAAATAAGGAAACAAAGTAATTTAGTAAAATATTTAAAGCATCAGATTATTACTGCCTTCACTGCTTATCTGTATAACTTGCTACTTCTAAATCATATTCAATACATATCAATAAAATTAAAACTGTAATTAAAAAACCTTTAAGGCTAAAAACATTTAGAAGATGGCATAATACAACAAATTTTATCTATTATTATCATTAGTTATTAAATGAAGTCAGTGAATTGACTAAGATAATTTAAAAAAATAATTCCACTGCAATAAAATATACGTAACAAAAATTTACCATTTTAAACATTTTTACGTGTACAGTTCAGTGACATTATACTCACCAAGCTGTCAACTATCACCACTATTTCCAAAAGTTTTCATCATCTCAAACAGAAACTCAGCACCCTTTATATAACAACTTCCATTTCTCTTTCCCCCAATTCCTGGTAACCACTAATAAATTTTTGTCTCTATGCATCTATGGGGAAATTTACTTCCGTAGTGATACTGCCTCGGAAACCCAAGGAAGGGTCACTATGAGTCAGGTCCAACTTGACGGCATAACAACATGAATCTGCCTAATCTAGATATCTAATATAGATGGGATCATACAATACCTGTTCTTTGTGTCCGACTTATGTTACCATAGCATAATGTATTCAAGATTCATCCATGCTATAGCATATCAGAATTTCACTTTATGAATGAATAATATTCCACTGTATGTGTATAAAATATCTAGTTTATCTATTCTTCTATAGGTGGACATCTGAATTGCTTTTACTTTTTGATTACTGTGAATAATGCTGCAATGAACACTCATGTGCAAGGATCTGTTGGAGTCTCTGCTTTCAAGTCTTCTGGTTATATATCTAAGAGTGGAATTTCTGGGTTATATAATAATTCTATGTCTAATATAATAGATTTTTAAAATTATTAATTTTCAAGAAAGTTCCACAAATGAAAATTATTACTGATTAACTTTAGATCTAAGTTTAAGAAATTTTTTCCACTTACACATATACCCAGGAGCTCTGGTGGTGTAGCGCCTAAAGCACCTGACTGCTAACCAGAAGGCTGGTGGTTCAAACCCACCAGCCACTCCTCGGAAGGCAGGTTGGGCAATCTACTTCCGTACAGATACCACCTCGGAAACCTTAAGAGGGGTTGCTATGAGTTGGAATCAACTTGACAGCAATGAGTTTGGTTTTTTTTTTTTTTTTTTAAATACACATACCCACAGATATATAGAAAAGAACACAAACCAAACAAACCAAACTCACTGCCGTCGAGTCACTTCCGACTCATAGCAACCCCTCCTTGGGTTTCCAAGGCAATATCACTGTGGAAGTAGATTGCCCAACCTTTCTTCCAGGGAGTGGCTGGTGGATTTGAGCCACCAGCCCTCTGGTTAGCAGTCAAATGCCTTAGGTACTATGCCACCAGAGCTCCCAAAAAGAACACAATCATATAATATAAATAGACTATACAGAAAGATCTAACATAGCATGCCTAAGACTGCTCCCCTTAAAAAGGACGGTTACAAGGCTGTTGGTTGACATCTGGCAACTAAATTTAGGGAGGGTTCTCACCATTTTCTATTAAGAGTGGCTCCCTGAGCCTAAAATGTACAAACAATGCTTACATTAAACATCTGCCTTCCTTCTTAACTCTGGAGTTTTGGTATATGCTAGGCAAAAGGGGCCTATGTGACCTATCCCCAGAAAGAACTCCAGGTACCGAGTCTCAAATGAGCTTCCCTACTTAGCAACATTTCACATGTACTGTCACAACTTGTTCTGAGGAAATTAAAGGCATCTTGTGTGAGTCCCCTGGGATACATCTTTTGAATGTGGGTTGTTTGCTCCAGACTCTGCCCCACTATGCCTTCTACTAATTTTATTTCATATCCTTTTGCTGTAATAAATCAGAGCCCTAAGTATGACTAAATGCTATATTCTGTGAGTATTCCCAGCAAATCACCAAATCTGAAGGTGATCTTGGGGACCCCAATACAGATACTATATTGATCCATATATATTTCACAATGATCTGAATGAGCTTTGGAGTCCTAACATGCTATTAGGACTAGAAGAGTCATCTATATGACTAAAATGTAGCCATGCATATGACATGCAGCCGTGTAAACTGAGGCAACTGTATTCTAAAAGAAAGCCAAAAGTTTATTTACTAGAGATTGGTAAGAGAAATAAAATGCCCTGATTCTATACAGATGATCCCCAGGACATCTCTGGTTAAGTTCAGTGAGAGAATCATTAAATTCAATTAGATCTAGTCCTGGCTCCATCTTAAGAAGGCTGCAGTCATATTAACTGTCTTCCCTGTCTCTTAGTTTTCCCAATGATATAATGGAGGTCAATACCTAGTCTACATCTCTATCAGGATATAAAGTGAAGGAAAGTACTTTGAAAAGAATGCTGTTGTTGCTATATGCCATCATGATGATTCCAACTCATAGCCAGACTACAGAACAGAGTACAACTGCCCTACAGGGTTTCTAGGATGCAAACTTTAGGGGAACAGATTGTCAGGTTTTTTGTCCTGCAGAGCAGCTGGTAGATTCAAACTTCTGATCTTTCAATCAGCAGCTAAGAGGTTTGACCACTGTACCACTAGGGCTTCTTTGGGAAATGGAATGCTTTTTTTTTTTTTTTTTAAACTGTGATTTGGATGAATGTTTACAGAACAAATTCAGTCTCCATATAGTAGGTCCACACATATTTTGTTTCATGACATTGATTGCAATCCCCATAATGTAACAGCTCTCTTCCCACTTCCCTCCCTGTGGTTACCTTTTCCCTGTGTGCTTCTTTCCTATGCATTCCTGCCCTCTAAGCTATCTCCCTGTCCAAATACTGACTTTCTCATTTCCCATGACTGATGTCCTAAGGAGTGCACCTACCTGGTATAAATGTTCACCTTATATGCCTATCTATTATTTGGCTGGAAGTCATGGAAGTAAGTTCAATTCCAGGCCTGAAGATGACTAGGGGCCATAGTCTAGGGGTTTCACCAGGCTGTAACAGACCAGTAAGCCTGTCACGTGTCATTCTTAAACCACCAATCATTACAGAGGTAGTTGCTTAACTCATTATAAAACTCTCTAAGCTAATTTTTTTTTTAAATTTTTTTATCAACCTGGTTTTTTTTTCCCCCTCCCATTTAAGTAAACTTTAAAAACTATCTGGAAGTACTCCATTATCCCAATTAGTTTTACATGTCTCTTCTAAATACAAGGGAAGACAAAGGAATTCCAATGTGAACATTTAGGTGTTACTTACAGATTACTGCCTATCATAAATAACACTGTAATCAAAGGATCATTTAAAAATACGAAATCATTTTAATATTTAAAGTACCCCTAATAGTACTTACCAAATTTATGCTTCCTGTAGGAGACCCATTAAAAGATTCTGTGGGAGGAAAAATTCAACTTAGAATACAGGAAAAAAACTTTTGAAGTAGTTGTTTTCTTAAGGTTTAAACAATAAGAATCAAAGTTGCATAAGCTAAGACATTAACAGAACAGTAAAGAAAAACTGTTGCATACAACTGAATATCTGGGTCCCTAAAGCTCCATAGTTTTCCAAATTAAGCATTTTGTTGGGGAAAAAAAACCCATACATACATACATATATATATACATACATACATATATATATTTGTAGCTGGCGAAGAAAAAAAGTCATGTGCAAGAAGCAAATTATTAAATGATTTTTATTGTCATAGTATCATATTAAGTTGTCTAACACTATAAGCATGAAGGAAATATGGCACGTGAAGTCCACTAGGAAATGTCAGCACTGTTTTGTTATTTTTGTCTTATCAGATTATGTAGTATTACAAATAAATTCTTCTTTAACATGATTTTTAATGTATCTATTATATACACCTAGATTTGTGGTAGATTTGGCTCAAAAAATATTGTAAGTCTAGATTCTTAAATCATTATAATTAATACATATTAATATCAGAACTACATACAGCATATATAACTAATAGACCAAAAGGTATTTAAAACTCTCTATATAATGCCATTTAATTAAAAAGCAACTATGAAAATAACTTTAAAACATTAATATTAGAGTAAGTCAATCATTCATTATTAAAATTAATAGCAAGCAATAATATTTCTCCCTCAGGGTTTTATTGTGTATCTGAGCAAATTAAGTTATTAATTAAGGTATCCCTCATGTCACAAATCCAAAGTAAGATATGGTAAGACAATATTCATACATAATTTAGAATTAGTATAAGGCTTCTAAAGGCTCTGGTTGTATAGTGCCTATGGCATCTGACTGCTAATCAGAAGCCTGACGGTTCAAACCCACCAGCCACTCCACGGAAGGAAGAATGGGCAATCTACTTCCATAAAGATTTACCACCTGGGAAACCCAAAGGGGGTCACTATGAGTCAGAATTGACTTCATGCCAGTGAGTTTGGTTTTTTTGTTTGTTTGTTTAATAAGGTTTCTAGCACTTATGAGATTATGAATCTGGATCTTTATACAGGTCACCAAAAGCAAGTTCCAGTTACTTCTAAAAAGAGCAGGTGGTGTTTGCCTCCCAACTCCAACAACTCTAAACCATCAAGAGCATTTTTTGAGTACTCAGACCTTTGGTCACAAATGCTAAACATAAAATTTCATGGCAGGAGTATCCCTTGCTTAATAGCAAGGTGATAATTTAAATGAATAAACATAAAATACTCGCCTTATTCAGTGATACAACTGACTCAAAAGCAACTGGTTTTGTTTTTTATTGGTACATCATTCTAGTCTGTTCACCTCTTAAATCTTTCGACCAAAGACAAGTCAAGTCCACTTTTTTGATTAACAATAAAAAGAAAAACAGGCTACCAGAATTTATCTTGGTTCACATTTAATCAAGAATTAGATAGCAGCCTACAACATTAGAAAATAAAAAGAAATATTGTGTGGTCTGGTGCCAAAAATAATGTGAATGAAATTTAATCAAAATACAAAGTATAACTTAAAATATTTTTCAAGTCTGTGAGGCCATGTTTTAATAATGGGAAAAATATCTACCTTTAAATAATTTAAAGCTTAACTAACAAAAGTAAGCAATCACGAACAAAGAGAAAGAGAGGAGGAAAAGAAAAAGGAGGGAAGGAGTGAAGAAGAGAGTATATATGAACAACCCATCTATTGAAGTTTAGTGAGGTAAGAAAGAACTTTCTTCCCCAGCCAAAAAAACCAGCAGAGGTCACCATCACACATGACAAGCCTTGGTCTATTCATTTTAGATTCAACTGTGGTTTTTTTTTTTTTTTTTTTTTAAATCAGATACACATTAATCTCTATTTTAGATAATTACTTCAGATTGCTTAAAAAGTAGCTGAATTTCTTACATCTAAAAAGTAAAAGATGTAACAAAAAAAGCTTAATGTAAAAATCTGAAAACTGTAATAAAAAAATAAGGAAAAGGCCTATTTTCAATTAAATGTTACAAAGAAAAGAAAATCATAAGCATGACTACTTGTCCGAAAGCCCTAAACACTTGCAAAGACAATAAAGTTGACAGCTATTTTTAATAAAAATGTTTCATATTATATCTATCAACCTACATACTTTTTTCAAATGGTTTCAAAAGAGGGGTTAATAATTTCTTAGTTATAAAATGTATAAAAGCTCATCAATTAGGACCTAGAATATTAAAAAAACAATGTCCTAGAATGACAATAAGATATATAATTCCAAACTACAATCAATGATTCCAATGTGAGGAGTCAGTCAATGACTGAAATTAAAGAGAAGTACATTTATCTTCAGATCAAAACCAGTTCCAGAAAAAAATAACATTTACTTTATGTTTCAAGTAGGTATGAGGTTTTAAGTTTGAGATGGCTTATAAATAATTTGTATCCATTAGTTACAGACAGGAAAATAGATTGGCTGTAAAGATAAGAATGAAAGCTAAAAATCAATTTAAGAGACATCGACAGAATTAAACTCTAATGCCAGAGAGTACACACACCTAATCTATCACCATCTTAAAAGCTTAGTTGATTGTGATTCAATTTATCTTCTTTCATTCTGTGTCCTACATCAAATCCATTTCATAAATCCTACAAGACTTCTAATATAGGTAAGACTAACATAAACAATAGACATTTACAAGTCAGTTTAGAATTGTTAACTGATACAGAGTTGCTACTGCAAACTCCAAAACAGCTCTATAACATTATTTTTCAACAGAAGTAGTAAATAGATATACCATTTTTAACTCGAAGTACATTGAATTTTACTATTTAGCTGTGACAGAATTACTTTTTTAAAAAAACTTCCTTAATTATATAATCAAATCCAGTTAGAATACTGTTCCAATTTTACAAATAAATAAACCAGAAAAAGTATTAATTTTAAAGTCCAAGATATTAGATCAACAATCAATGTAAAATTATTAAAACAGAAATGCAATCTTCCATAACCAGATTTTTTAGATTATAATTTAAAAAGTAAAATCTCACTAGTATAAACTATGGAGGTGGGAAGGAGGAGAGAAAGCTGGCAAGCTTCCACAATAAAGGTATGTTTAAAACAATGCTCACTACCTAATACATCTATTATATCTCCATCGCCAAGTAGTCCTGTTCATAAATGGTCATAAAAGCCTCAAAATAATTATTTAGTCAAATCTTTCCAATTTAATTTTATTTGCTTATTTGCTCAGTAAAACATACCAGAAGGATCACTAAACCCTAGATACTTAACTAGAGTTTAATACTTCTGAATTGAATCACAAGTAAATCTAGCCTAAGAATCTGGACACTTGGGTTCTAAGGGCTGCCTCTCCGAATATTCTTAATATAACTATTTACTACTACTTTTTGTTCTTGTTGTTGTTATGTGCCGTCGAGTCGGATCTGACTCATAGCGACCCCTCCTTGGGTTTCCGAGGCAGTATCACTACAGAAGTAGATTGCCCCATCTTCCTTCCAAGGAGGGCTGGTGGGTTTGACCCGCTAGCCTTCTGGTTAGCAGTCAAATGCCTTAGGCACTACGCTACCAGAGCTCCTTTACTACTACTACTAACTGATACTTAAGTTTTAAGTTATAAACCTTTCATATATATAATTCCATTTAAATACCACAATGACTCTAAGATACTAAGATGCGATTATTCCAGATTTATAATTGAGAAAAATGAGGCTTAAAGCAATTATTGGTGCTCAACATGACAAAGATGTGGTAAGTGTAGTGTGAGCAATAAAACTCAAACACTGTGACACTTAAAGTCTAATTTTTTCACTATAACAGGGTGACAGGTCTCAGTATCCTCACTGGAAAAAAACTGAATGGCTGGAATAAATGACTCAAGGCTTCTTCCAGCTTTAAAAGTCTTCCAGACTGTGCAGGATTTAGAAAATGATATACTTAAAGATAGAAAAAACTGTAGTTTTTTTTAAGTGCTTTATAGCTTAACTCTGAGTTATTATTTTTTATCTCATTTAATTTCAAAAATCTTACTGTTAATCTCATTTAATCTTTTCAATCATCCTATTGTTAATCATGAATATTATCACTTACTAGCTAAAGGAAAACTACAACAAAGTATTTGGGTGACACACCTTAAGATCACATTCATCTTCAAGAATTCAAAGTTTTATATAGTTACATTCAGAAAAGTGCTCTGGTGGCCCAGTAGTTAAAGCATTTGGCTAACTAACTAAAAGATCAACAGTTCAAACCCACCAGCTGCTCTACAAGAGAAAGATGAAGCTGTCTGCTTCCACAGAGATTTATAGCCTTGGAAACCTTATGAAGTAGTTCTTTCTACTCTATCCTATAGGGTTGCTATGAGTCAGAATTGACTCACAGGTAGTGGATTTTGTTTTTTAGTATAGTTATATTCTAGTCTGTTACTACATTTTCAACATTTTAATTTAGTACACTAAACTCTGTCATTCATTTATAGATTTTAAGTACATGGCAATTTATATTTGGGCTTCAAGACATTTTATATCTTGCTTGAAAGGTCATTTTTCTGGTAAGCAGAATAGATACAGGAACACACACACACACACAACCATTTACGTAAAATGTACATCACTTTACCTCCATCACCATCATCTGATCCTCTGAAACTAGGATCTTTTAACATATCCAGTTCAGCCAGCATGCGCACATAAAGTGCATTCTGCCTGAAGGAAGGGTAAAATCTTTCATCTCGCAGCATCAATTCATACACCTTATTGAAATAAATCAAGATATTCAATTATCAATACAGGTAATGTGCTTACTTTCACTAAATAAGCTTTACCAAAAGCTACACTGAGATCTTGCCATAATATATCACAAGTCTCACAGTTACAAGATATCAGCAATGAGACTACAGTATTTTTTCACAAATAATGTACCCATGTAAATAATGTACCCATGTAACAGATGGAAAGGATGATATTAAATAAAATAGTTCTGGTATAGTGGTATAGTACAGTTGGCAAAAATGTGTCATGCACACATTATCTGAGTAAAACTACGGTATATCACAACTAATAGTTTCTTCTGGTACCTCTAGTAACTAAACTGCTCTGAAAAGTCCCACCATAACACATTTATCACATGACAGCAAGCTCTTTATAATATTCTGAGAAGTAATATTCTCCAACATGTCCATGTGAAGTCTCCAGGTGCATACTACAATTTGAAAGGCATGTTGTTTACACATTTGTCAATTCCTAAAGTTCTAAGATACCAGGTTCTTCAGTCATATTCAAATAAACAACCTAAGTATTTTCCTCATCTGTCAATTACTATAAATTATCAACAAAAAAATTGGTCCTTTTTTTATAATTAAGAATTATTATAACCATAACTTATCTACTTTTTTATGTTTCAATAATCTTTTAAAAATACTAATTATGTGCACATAGAAATGCACATTTTTTCCAAGAAAGATAAAATACAAATGTTGTATATTATACCTTCCTTTGAATGTCATCAAAGATTTCAGGGGTTGGATCTTCATGATTCAAAGTATCTGCTAATTTTGCTACCAAATAGTCATCAACAGTAACCCTTGGAGATGCCTAGCAAAGAAAGAAAAAATAATAGTAGTAATGACTTACGGAATTTCCAACTACAGTTTAATCAGTCTTAGTAAAATTAAAACCAAACTCACTGCCGTCAAGTCGACTCAATGCATAGCAACCCCTCCTTGGGTTTCCAAGGCAGTATCTCTACAGAAGTAGATTGCCCAGTGTTCTTTCCGAGGAGGGGATGATGGGTTTGAACTGCCAGCTTGCTGGTTAGCAGTCAAAAGCCTCAGGCACTATACAACCACAGAATCATATTATTAAAAGTAATTGGCAAATAAGAATCCTTTGTTTGTAAATGATGCTTTAATGTTTAAGAAGGCTGAAATAAGAGCTAGAACCTTCTCTTCATAGGGTACTATGTAGCAGACTGACAGTCAGACAAACATAACATTAAACTTTGATGCCTGCCAAGCAAATTTCTCACTTATCGACATGGTTGGGTTCCAAAGATCAGGTCACTAAGTAAAATTCAGTGTTACACAAAAAGGGAAGGTGAGTACATCATTACTTAACTGTTAAATTACATCATTATATGCTTGCCAAACCACTGACAAGCATGGCCCAGCCAATGTGACACAAACCATCAAAGCCAGCGATGCTAGATGTACGCTCTTGATACACAAAATAGCTGGATAGATTTTTTTACTACTATAAATGTGAACTGTTGTATAATGAGATAGTTGATAAATGACGAATAGGCCTACTTTACCTCTCACTCAGCCTCATTTTTGCAATCTGAACAATGGTAACAAGGTTATTATAAGGATGAGGAGATTGATAAATATAAGATAGCACATGTCTGGCACTTGGAAAACACTTTTATTAGGAGTTAATTAAGATTAGTACTTAGTATTCATTACTACTGGGTGTGTATTAAAATAACTGCCCAAAAAATAAGCCACCTATGACTTATCATTTGACACTAGAGCAATATTCCTTTTGAATGGCCTCTAAAACATAAAGCTTTTATCTCAAATTTGGTTTTCTAACCAAAGCTGCAACAAAGTTCCAGTGTGATGAGGGAAGAAAGGAATCTGAAAGTTTAACTTGTTCTAAGAATTTCCATTTGAAGATGGCATATGATAAATACTATATAGAAATATATAGTCAGCCCCAGGGTTACAGGTGAGGAGAGACAACTCAGGGACGCCCAAAGTAGCAAGCGGGAAGAGCAGGAGAAAGGAGATTAAAAGCCAGGAAGCCAGAGAGAAGAGCAATCAGCGAAGGGATTAGGTGAGGAGACAAACTCAGACCCGCCCAGAGTAGCAGGCCAGAGGAGCAGGAGAAAGGGAATTAAAAGCCAGGAAGCCAGAGAGAAGAGCGAACAGCCAAAGGGATTAGGTGAGGAGAGGAAACTCAGGCCTGCCCAAAGCAGCAGGACCGGAGAGCAGAAAAAAGAGGATAAAAGCTAGGAACCCGTACAGAGGAGCAGTCAGCCCCAGGGACAACTCAGGGATGCACAAAACAGCAGGGCAGAAGAGCGGGAGAAAGGGGATTAAGAGCCAGGAAGCCAGACAGAGGTACAATCAGCCACAGGGACCCAGTTGGGGGTGATACGAGATGTCTCCAACAGCAAGACAAACTCGTCTGTCGGATTGTCCTACTGTGGTGACATGTAGACGTGAGTTTTGAAGCTGTGCCTCTGTGTTTAAAACCCAGCGAGATGCACCTGGTGCATAGGTAACAGCCCAGCTTATAGACTGAGACAGACTAGCAAGAAGGAAGAGGCTGTCCACTTCTCAATTGGCCAGGGAAAACCTTACGAATAGCAAAGAAACACTGTTTGGTACATTACCGCGCACCTTTAGGAATAGTCCGTTTAGGCTAAAAGGCTCTCAAAATAGGACTGGGAAAGAGCTGCCA